TTAGTCCTTTGGACTAATCTTTTCCTTGTATCCTGTTCTCTTCATTCTCCCTTGCTCCCGAAGGGATGAGACCAGTGGAATATTTTAGATGGTTACAAGTACCTTTTTTAGTAAACAGATTTAGATAGAAATCCACTTCATAGTGATGAAATAAACTATAGATTTACCTCAAATGTTATGGTAATTGGCATGTATATAGTCTATACTTCCTCCCTTTCTTTCTAGACCAAGGGTTCTGTCTAAACCTCTCTATGTTCTCAAAACTACTTGTGTCACATCTTCACTCTAAGTACCATTAGAACTTGTTCAATGTAAGCCGAATCAAGTGTTCTCAGGTTATAATTATTTAATTCTATGTTGTAACACCAGACTAATGACTTAACAAGTGTCTTTTTACCTTAAAGTGTGTTGAAAGGTGAAACAAATTGCTATCCTCTCTGCTTATCCTCTACTGAAGAAAACCTACTTCCCCTACTTCATTATTTCAGTTGAAGTAAGCTCATCTTTAGAGCACTGAACTCCACACTTAATGTGTTGAATTTATAAAGGTGCCTACTACGTATTTATTTATGAGAAAGTAAGATTCTATGGGATGGTTTCTTAACCTCAATAGCTATCAGAAAAAAAAACTGCATTTAATTAGATGTTATTTAGATCTGTACAAATGAGTAGAAGAACCAAACAGAAAAACAAATTGAAAGGGATAACCTGAAGCAAACTTGGAAGGGTTTGGGAGACAAAAAATTCAAGTACTAATTGGAAAATGGGGGAGAAAAAGAATGGATTGAAGTAAAAGTATTTTTCAATATTATATGCTCTTGATGCGTTTGATTCACATTGCTATTGAAAATGTATGTAAACTCCCAATAGATTTAATTCAGGTGGTATATTGACAAGATAGTTGATATGATACTGGCAATTAAAGAGTTGACTGGACTTTTTTTTTTTTTTACCACTTGTCTATTGCCTATTTAATATTCCCCCCCCACCCCTCCCATCCCTGGTAACCAACAAGAATTGTTACATTTTGCGTGTGAACTTTTTC